TGAGGCGGTACAATGACTTCACTGGGCAGGTCTAAGAATTATTATAGAATCATCATATTATTATTTCTTATAGCTGCATCTGTGATGTTGACACTGGCCTCGTCTCTTTGTCTTCTCTCCTTTTTATTCATTAAAACAACACTAGACAAACCTGCTTGTGAAAAAGTCATCGCCCCCTAAACCTGATATCTCAGCAGCAAGAATATAAATCAGGCATTAAGTGTTTCACGTCTCTGTGGAGGAGTCGTGGGGTACTCGTCTTCACTGAGTTATGTCAAAGGACCTCAATCACCAGGACGCTCGCTGACACGTTTGAAACCGATGACTGAATGTAATCCTTCCTGGCACAGCAGGCTTCATGGTTCCATGGATTACAGCACCTCTCACTGTAATGCACTGAACGTGGAGGCTGAACGGTCATAGTTATCGCTTAGGTTCCCAAGTGTGCGCACAGGTCCTGGCTCCTATTTACATTTTGTTTTCAGAAAATGTATTTTTAATTGTGCTTTGCACAGTTTTTTGCTCCTCGTTGTCTTTGCAAAGCAAACACGAAGAATCCACTAAATGCACTTTCATCTGCGTGACCGCCACGGCCCAGAACATTAAAGGTTGTTCTGTTAGTGCTGGTGTGTCACAGTCTTAGCACACCGCTGTCATACACACACCTGGACATCCATCATCATATGTAGGACTGATTTCTTTTTGCACAACATCTCTAAAGTTAGAAATATCCTGTCTCAGAGTGACGCTGAAAACTAGTTCATGCATTTATTACTTCCAGGCTGGACGACTGTGATTCATTATTATCAGGAAGTCCTAAAAACTCGCTGAAAAGCCTTCAGCTGATCCAAAATGCTGCAGCAAGAGTCCTGACAGGGACTAGAAAGAGAGCAGATTTCTCCTGTACTGGTTTTGATTCACGGGCAACATGGTGGTTAAAAACACACCTACCACGTCTCTACCAAGCACTGGTTCTTCTCAGGGGTGCTGATGCAAAGTTTAGTACAAATCACATCATGAAGTTCACAGACAACAGTGCAGATCTCACCTGGGACAGCAACGAGAGCAGGGAGGAGGTGGAGGAGGTGCAGATGGCTGCTTCTCCCAAAGCCTGCTTCTGTCAGACGCTTCTTCCTGTTAAAAGGGAATTTTTCCTTCAAGCCATAATTAACCTCAGTGTGTGAAGAGGACTCTCCATTTACATGCACAAACTGGAGTCTATTAGATAGATATGATACAAACCACTGCAGCGCAGTACCTGTAATACCTACAGCATGTTCTAATCGCTCTAATAGGATATTATGGTCGACAGTATCGAACGCTGCACTGAGGTCTAGCAGGACAAGCACAGAGATGAGTCCACTGTCAGAGGCCATAAGAAGACTCGCTGGTTTGTTCCCTGCACCTTCAGGTCGGGGAGTGGGACCTCACCATCATTGCCGCTTATGCAGCACACGACAGTTTCAGGCCTCCTGCTGCGAGACTTCAGCGCTCATGTGGGCAACAACGGTGAGATGTGGAGGGGCGTGATTGGGTGGAACAGCTGCCTGACCTGAACCCAAGCTGCACATGACTAACACTGTGTTCAAACACGAGTGTCTGTAAGTGCACATGGCAGCAGGATATGGAGGAGAAGAGCCATGTGCATCAGTAATGAACAGCACCATAAAATATGCATTAATAAATTCATTTTTACATTATTTTATTCATTTAAACATTACTGAAGTAATTAATTTAATTTAATTTAAAATAAAAACACCATTTATATACACCAATACTTCAAAATGAATTATTACAGTAAGCACACATGGATGATGACACCATGTTCACCTAACCCCAGCCTCTAACACGCTGCATGTTCAGTATACTGCAGTGAGTTTAACCATTTCCTGCACCTACAGTTCCTGCATGTGTGCGATACAGATACTGAAGTTTAGTTAGTGACAAAATAAAATAAATCCAAAGCTGAAAATGATTCAGTTTATGAATTTTCTCTGTTCTGTCTGTGCTCATAAACCCAACAACAACAACGGTTTCCCTGCATGTCGCATTGTGTTGTACATGTACAGATCAACACATCTGTGCACACGGCTGAATATGAACACGTTACTTGTTTAATTGCTCGTTCAGCAGACATCAAAGAACTTCCTCAACCAGCCAGCTATACTGGTATCTTTTTTCCAGTTTATGAATTCCAGTATGAAGTGGCAGTAGGTCGGGAGGTGGAGCAGGTCATCCACTGATCAGAAGGTCGGTGGTTCGATCCCTGGCTCCCCCAGTCTGTGTCCTTGGGCCAGATACTGAGCCAAGTTTCTCTCCGACCATCAGTCTGTGTGTGAGTGTTAGCTGGTGCTTGGATGAATGTTGTGCTACGAAGCTGATTATTAGAGACTGAAGCATTAATTAATGGCAGGACTTTGAGCAGTTTTGTAGGAATGGGGTCTAAAAGACACGTTGATGGTTTGGAGGAAGTAATTATTGAAGTTAACTCAGAAAGATC